GCCAGGCGCGCGGGGCAGTGGTGTGGGCGGGCACCCACCGGGACGCCCCGGGAGGCCTCCGTCTGCTGTGAGGGCCCGCCTTAGAGCTAACCGGCCAGGTAACTGCAGCGGCAGCCGGTCAGGAGGGCAGCTGCCCGCGCCAGGCCACCTCACCCAGGCCACCTGCATGCACGCGGTGCCTGGGTCTCCAGCCCTGCCGTCCCCAGGCTGCCCTGGCCCCTGGGTTGGTCAGGAGGAGAGTCGGGCCCGGACTCATGGCCCCACCGGAGGGAGGACACTGGACAGGGCGGGGGGAGGAGGGGCCTGAGCGAGTGAGAAAGGGAAGGGTGAGGACTCGGGCCTTGGGTCTGGCTGTTGGCGAGGGGTCGTGGCCGTGGGGCCCTGGGGCAGGCAGTAGCCGTGGCCAGAAGGGCCGAGGAGGAGGAGGCTGTGGCTGGGCCCGGACTGCGGCGGGCAGAGCCGTCGAGGAAGGAGACGCTACTCCTCCGCGGGGGCAGGCTGAGCGGCGGCCAGGCCCCGGAGCCTGAGGGGGGACAGGGCCCTCTGGCCCAGCCCGGGCGCGCTGCGCGCCGAGGGGGCTGGCCTGCCCTTGAAGACTGGGCGGCCCAGTGCCCTCTCTGGGGAGGGTCTGCCAGAGCCCTGGCCTGGCGTGTCAGGGTGCCGGCTCGGCCCCGGCCGCGGAGAGACAGGTGACGCGGACCTGAAGGCGCCTGCTAGTTTCCGTCTGGGCCGCCTGGAGTGAAAGGGGCGTGGCTCCAGCTACGGAGTCCTTGGGCTCCGCAGGTCCTCGGCCCTGAGGCCTGTTGACTGGGGCTCTAATTAAGGAGGGGGCGTCCCATTTGGGGGATTCTTAGCTTGGGAGATATGGGAACTTCATCTTCAGGGAGGGGAGGCCCAGCCTGTACTATAAACTAGGCCTGCTGGTGTCTGAAGGAGGAAACTGTCCTCGAGTCTCTCACTGGCCTGCCCTGGGTCTGCAGTCCCCTCCCGGAGGCCCGCGTGCGGCTCTGGGAAACCCCCTGCCTCTGGGGCCGCAGAGTTGGGGCCCTATCCGTGAGGGATGATGGCCAGGCCTGTCCTGGGGGTGTCGCATCTGCCCCAGCAGGACTTCGGGCCTGGCCCCATCCTGCTGCCTCCTGGGGGGCCCTGGTCTCCCAGTGCTGCAGAAGGTGCCCTGTGTGGGGGCAGGGCCTCCGCTTGCGTCAGCTCTGTAGGGGCCCTCCCGGGCCCTCCCCTCTTCCCTGGGGTCTCTCCTGGGTAGTAGCTGCCCTGTCTTCTGCTTCCCTTTCTGCTCAGCACCGGTGGGTCCCTCCAGCTCGGATGGCTTCCCCTCCCCTCGTCCATGGAGCGCTTGGCCGGGGCCCTGGGAGGACCTTGCACCCAGCCCAGGACACCTGCCCCCGAGGCTGGAGGGGTGGGCAGGGCGGGCTGGCACATCACCCTGCCTCCTGCCCCCGCGGCGTTGCTGCCAGTGCCTGGGGCCGGGCCGGTGCGTCTGGGACCGCCTGCAGGCTTGGCCTGCCTTCCTGGGGCCGGGGTCCTGCCGACCCCGCCGCCCTGCGTCACTGCAGGCGCTGAGCCTGCGCCGTGCTACCGTGGGGAGCCCTCCCCACAGCGGGGCTGGGGGCCGGGACAGGAGCGGGCTGCCTGGCCGCTTCCCCACCCCTTACAAGCCAGCGGCGCTCTCTCCCTCTGTCCCGCTCCAGATGGCAGCGCAGCGGCAGCGGGCACTGGCCATCATGTGCCGGGTCTACGTGGGCTCCATCTACTACGAGCTGGGGGAGGACACCATCCGCCAGGCCTTCGCCCCCTTTGGTCCCATCAAGAGCATCGATATGTCCTGGGACTCTGTCACCATGAAGCATAAGGTGAGGCTCAGCCTGCCCCGCCCCGCCCGCACACGGGGCTCTCCGCACCTAACGGTGGGCGCCCCGTCCAGGGCTTCGCCTTTGTGGAGTACGAGGTCCCGGAAGCCGCACAGCTGGCCTTGGAGCAGATGAACTCGGTGATGCTGGGCGGTCGGAACATCAAGGTGAGGCCGGGCGGTGCGCTCTGCTGGTCACGGGGCGGGGCGGGGGGGCAGCGTCCGCAGGGCTACGGTGGCTGACGGCCTCCTGGCGTGCCCGCCCCCAGGTGGGCCGGCCCAGCAACATCGGGCAGGCCCAGCCCATCATCGACCAGCTGGCCGAGGAGGCGCGCGCCTTCAATCGCATCTACGTGGCCTCGGTGCACCAGGATCTCTCAGACGACGACATCAAGAGCGTGTTTGAGGCCTTTGGCAAGATCAAGTCCTGCACGCTGGCCCGAGACCCCACCACCGGCAAGCACAAGGGCTACGGCTTCATCGGTGAGCCAGTGGCCGGGCGGGGTGGGCCTCCCCACGCCCCGCGGGCGAGGCCGACCTCACCACCCCCCGCACCCCGCAGAGTACGAGAAGGCCCAGTCGTCCCAGGACGCCGTGTCCTCCATGAACCTCTTTGACCTGGGGGGCCAGTACCTGCGGGTGGGCAAAGCTGTCACCCCCCCCATGCCCCTGCTCACGCCTGCCACGCCTGGAGGCCTCCCACCTGCGGCCGCAGTCGCCGCTGCCGCTGCCACAGCCAAGATCACAGCCCAGGTGAGGCCCGGGCGGCCCGACGAGGCGGCCCGCACAGTCCTGGGGCCGCTGCTTCGGGTGGTGGCGTGTGAGGCAGCTGGCACGGGGCTGAGCGCGGCGGCCTTTCGGATTGCAGGAAGCAGTGGCTGGAGCAGCCGTGCTGGGCACCCTGGCCACACCTGGACTGGTGTCCCCTGCCCTGACGCTCGCCCAGCCCCTGGGGGCTCTGCCCCAGGCCGTCATGGCAGCGCAGGCCCCGGGCGTCATCACAGGTGAGCGGTGGGTCGGGGCTTCCTTCTGCTCCCCCATCTCCTGGCCTGCGCGGCCCCTCTGCCAGGACGTGGTGCCCCAGCGCCCTGAGCCGCGCCCCACCCCTGCCGCAGGGCGAGGTGGGGGTGATGGCCGGACCTGCTGGTTTGCTGCAGGTGTGACCCCCGCCCGGCCTCCCATTCCCGTCACCATTCCCTCCGTCGGCGTGGTGAACCCCATCCTGGCCAGCCCGCCCACGCTGGGCCTCCTGGAGCCCAAGAAGGAGAAGGAGGAGGAGGAGCTCTTCCCCGAGTCGGAGCGGCCCGAGATGCTGAGCGAGCAGGAGCACATGAGCATCTCGGGCAGCAGCGCGCGCCACATGGTCATGCAGAAGCTGCTGCGCAAGCAGGAGGTGGGCGCGGGCCGGGCGGGGCGGCCGGGCGGCGGGGCGGCGGCTACAGCCCTCGGCTCTCCCACAGTCCACCGTGATGGTGCTGCGCAACATGGTGGACCCCAAGGACATCGACGACGACCTGGAGGGGGAGGTGACGGAGGAGTGCGGCAAGTTCGGCGCCGTCAACCGCGTGATCATCTACCAGGAGAAGCAGGGCGAGGAGGACGACGCCGAGATCATCGTCAAGATCTTCGTGGAGTTCTCCGCGGCCTCCGAGACTCACAAGGCCATCCAGGCCCTCAACGGCCGCTGGTTCGCCGGCCGCAAGGTGGTGGCCGAGGTGTATGACCAGGAGCGCTTCGATAACAGCGACCTCTCCGCGTGACCGCGCGGCCCCTGGACCTGGACTTGCCCCTGTCCCCGTCTGTCACCGGCTGTTGGAGAGCCGCGGGCAGCCTGGGCGACGCCGTGGCCCGCGCGCGCCTGGATAAAGGTGCAGCTGCTGCTGGCCCTCCGCGCTGGACTTGCTGTTGTGCTTATTGGCTTCCGACGGCCGTTCCCCGGGCGGGGC